AGACTACAATAAAGGGACTATTTCACAGTCTTTGACTTACTCAGCACCTCTGACTTACTTAGCACAGAAGTATAATCTCACAACCTATAAAACTACATTATGGTCTCTTTGTGGGATGCATAAAATTATACGTTATACAATAGTTCATGATATTTTATGCACTATATTAGGAAATAGAGAGCATACTGTGGTTTATAGCTGATTTCAAGTTGTGTGTACATGCCGCGGGCCTGTGGTAAAGCAAAATTTGGAACTTGTGAAGTTTGTCCATAGCTGTGAGCAGCAGAGTTCCTTGTGTTATTTTGTGCTCTTGTAAGTTTCCTAGGGCTGACAAATGTTGAGTGGCTACTAACAATAGAAAATTGTTTTTTTTTCCCCCAGTTCTGGAGGCTGAAAATGTGCAGTCACAGTGTCAGCAGTGTAGTGCTCACTCCCCAGGGTTGTAGGGAATGATTCCTTCTCTTTTTTCCCCTTTTCGGATCATACCCGGTGATGCACAGGGGTTACTCCTGGCTCTGCACTCAGGAATTACTCCTGGTGATGCTCGGGTGACCATAGGGGATGCTGGGAATTGAACCCAGGTCGTACGTGTACAAGACAAATGCCCTACCTGCTGTGGTATTGCTCCAGCCACAGGATTCCTTCTTTTTTTTTCCTTTTTTGGATCACACCTGGCAATTCTCAGGGGTCATTCCTGGCTCTGCACTCAGGAACCACTCCTGGCAGTACTGGGGGACCATATGGGATGCCGGGGATGAAACCTATGTTGGCTATATGCAAGGCAAACACTCTACTCACTGTACTACTGCTCCAGTCCCTGGAAGGATTCCTTGTTCCTCTCATTTTATTTCTTGGGTTTGCCAGCAATCCTTGGCATCCCTTGTCTTGTACATGCATCATGCAGATCTCTGCAGATCTCCATGTAACCCCCTCTTCTGTGGGTCTGGATCTTAATTTCTCTCTTATCAGTTACCTGTCACACTTCCAGTCTAAAATAACCCCATCTTAACATGATTTCATCTGCAAAGACACTATTTCCAAGTAAGGTCACAATTGCAGGTTCCCAGCAGACAAATACTTGGGGGCACAGTACGTAACCCAGGACAGCATTTTCATGCTCATCCCCAGTTTCTGTTGTGCAGAGTCTCTTTGGTTCTGAGTGCAGAGCCAGAGTAAACCTTGTGCATCACCAGGTGTGACCCAAAAAGAAAAAAATTTTTTTTTCTCGAGCTGGAGCCATAGCACAGTGGGTAGGGCATTTGCCTTGCACAAGGCCGATCTGGGTTCAATTCCCAGCATCCCATATGGTCCTCCCACACACCATCAGGAGTAACCCCTGAGCATTGCTGAGTGTGACCCCACACACAAAATAAAAGCAAAAAAAACCCAGAAAGATAGTTACTGCATGATTTAACTTGTATGAGGTAACTAAGCCAATCAAAATCATGGAATCCAAGAGTGGAATGGTGGCTGCCACTGGTAAGGAGAGGGTCAAGTGAGTCACTGAGAGAGAAGGTCGAATTTCATTAAAGCAGGATGTAGAAGTCCCAGAGACCTGCTGTGCAACATCTTGACTACAGTCAATAATAACATATTACATCCTGGATTTTTTCTTAAGAAGATAGATATCATATTAATTGTTGCCACAATAAGAAAAGAAGAAGCTGGAGGCAAAGATAGTAAAGGTGAATAGCAGAACTCTCAGATTCTTTGGGCTCTTTTGACAATTGTGGTTTAACAGACCGAGGGTCATAATTTAAGATGATAGTGGAACTGTGAGGATCTGTGGAGGCCATGACCCTCCGCACAGACCATACTGGCACCCTCATCCCCACTCTGTAAACTGGACTGGGTTAAGACCTATCTGGGCTCGCAGATTGGACTCCAGGCATAAAGGTTCAGAGCACTAAATCTTGGTGTTGGCACATTGTACACCTGAAACCCCGTCAGGAGTGTCTTTGTAACTTGGTAACTCACCGTGATTTAATAAAAAGTAAAAAAATAGCACTAAATCTGGAGCCAGTTCTCCCAGGCTTGATTCCAGAATTCCTAGGCAACTTATTTACTTTCACTCATTCTGTGCCTCAGTTTCCACATCTGTGAAAGATGATAATATCCCACTTCTCACAGAAAGATATGAGTTAAATATATATACATATATATATATATGTATTTTGGATCAGCGAGTTAGCAAAGGAATTGGAGGGAGAGTATGCATTGTATGTCTGGGAGCCTTATCTGGTCCCTGGCACCATGTGACCCCTGAGTTCTGCCTGATGTGACCTTAGTGGTGCAGGTACCACAGACCCAAGCAGCAAGCTTTGTAAGTGGCTGCTGTACTCCTGAGTATTGCTAGGGGGATCCTCCCTGCAAAATCAATTAAGCACTTAGAAATAATGTCTGGCACCATAAATGCTTGTTATCATTTTGTCCAGCCAGTGAGAATTCTAATATTTCACTTGTTCCTTCTTCATTTCCTTTCTCCCCTCACCACCCAAGACAAAACAGGTGGTAAAACTTGAGCAGACTCTGGCTGTGGCTTTTGATTTTGCTTTTGAGTCCTGCCTAATCACTTAGTGATCAGCGGCAAGGGAAAGTTCAGCTACCGAGAGTATCTCGCCCGCACGACAGAGCCTGGCAAGCTCCCCGTGACCTATTCGATATGCCAGACACAGTAACAACAAAGTCTCCAATGGAGACGTTACTGGGCACGCTCGAGCAAATCGATGATCAACGGAAGGGCCTTTACTTACTTTTTCTTATTCAAGGATCAAGACTGAGGCCCAGGTACCTGTCAGATGCCTCTCTGAAACTGACATCACCACTTGACTTAGCACCAGGCTATTATTAAATTAATAGCTGCCAGAGTGAGTGTGGCTTGATGGGTAACTTTACCTCCTTTGGGCAGGTGGGGTGTCCCCCTCCGAGCCCTCCCACCTTTCAGATTTTACATAATGGCGCTCACGGTGTCTCAGCTACTCAGGTTTGGGTCTGTTTCCAGCACCGAGGAAAAGTGAGAGCTTAATAGGAATGGGGCCCCTGAGTGGAGCGAGGAGAGGTAAAATAACTGTAATTTCATAGCAATTACCTACAACCAACACTGTCAAAGGCGCCCGTTTTCCATTATAAACCCGAGCCTCCACTGGCAGCAATTTGCAAGGTAGGAGTAAGCACACGATTAGGCTCTCATGTATGAAAGAAGGGAGCACCTGCTCCCTCATCAGAAGCCACTGCCAAGCAACCCTCAGGGGGGAAATAACATGTTAAACTTGGGGAATGCAGATTTTCCCCCATCTCTTTCCAAAATTAAAAGAAGAAAGAAAGAAATCTTAGTAAGCCTCTGTGCCAAGATCTTGGTAGGATTGTTTGCAGCCTTGTGATAAGCAAGCCTGGTGCCCTTCACTCCCCAGCAGTGTTGGATGGGACCCCTCTTTCCAGGGTAGCTAACATCAGCTAGAGTCAGCAGAGGATTTTATTAATTAGGGCTCAGTGGAAATAATAATTTTCAGAGACCAGTTACCTAATCTTTTGGCTTGCTAAATATTAACTCTTTTTTGGAAATGTTGCTCTACTATTATTTGGGGACAAATGGGTTCATCCATACCCAGTGGTTCTCAGGGCTTACTCTCAGTTCAGGGAGTAATCTGGGATAAAGAATCACTTCTAGTGGTGCTCCAGAGACCATATGCAGTGTCAGGGGTGGAATCTGGATGAGTTGCATGCAAACCAATTGCTTTAACCTCTGTATAGTTCTCCAACTCTGGAAATTACTTAAAAACTTGATGTTTCTTCAATCCATTTAGAAGTAAATATGGATTTACACTGTTAATATTAAAAAAAGAAAAAAATACCACAGCTTTGGGGAGTCTACTGAGAAATGCAAGTGTTATGAGTTGAAGTAGGCAAGCACTCATTATTGCTTTGTGTGTGTGCTCCCTTTTTCTCATCCATCCCACAGAAGGCCAAAATTCCTGAGTAAAGCCATTTTTGAATGCCCTATGCAATTTTCTCCAGTTGGTAGTTGTTTTGTATTTTTTGGTAAGAGTAATATAAACAGAGAGGTTGTATTAACATTGAAGGTCAAGTATTAGAACGAAGTAGGTGCTGATTAAAATCTTGAATCTGCTGACTAATCTAAAAGGAGATGGGATTAAAGTCTGATGTATTTGTATTTATGACATATTCATAAAGCAAGGACCAGCGGGTGGAGGAAGGGAAATGACAGAGGAACATCTTGTCTGTGAATAACCAAAGAAAAATATTTCTAATTATAGAACTATTCTCAGATTGGATGGCTTTGAGACATTTAAGTTACTGGTGAGTTGAGATGTCAAGGATAAACTAGAATAGTGTTTCTGAGCCACATGGCCCCTGTGGACCTCCTGGATATTACAGAGGACCATGGTTGAAAACTGCATAAATGGGGAAACATGGCAACAGACTAAGGGTCCAACCAGTGGACAGAGAGGTCACAGGAAGGAAACAAGGTCAGAAAGAGGCCACAGTCTGAAAAAGATTGAGATACACTGGACTAGAAAGTTTCTTGGAGCTGTACCAGTTGGTGATCTAACATCATTTGTATTAAACTATGTAATGCTATGTATTAAATGCTATGTATTTGTATTAAACTATGAAATTCTTTTTTCCCTGTGATACTAAAGTGTTATGGAATCGAAAAGTTATTCTTCTATATGAATATCAAGCTAAACTATCAAGTCTAACCTATCACGATTATCTCTAGTCTATCATGTTAAAATATCAAATCTGCATAATAAATTATCAAATTTTTCTCAGCATATATTTAGAGCTCTCTCCTAGTCCAAGCAATGCCTTCCATAGACATTAGGAAGGTAATGGTGACTAATTTGGGGAATCTGCTTTTTGATACTAGACTGGGACATTGAGTCAGTTCTCTGATGATTGTTGGGATGTGATGACCCTATACTCCTGCTTGCTCATATACATATACTAACTCGGGGCTCTGCTTCTCTTCATTCTAGGCTGGAACCGATGGAGAAAGCATTGGCAACTGTCCTTTCTCTCAGCGTCTCTTTATGATCCTCTGGCTGAAAGGAGTCGTGTTCAATGTCACCACTGTGGATCTAAAAAGGTAAAGGTCACAGAAGCCAGGAGGGTTCTATTTAGTTTCAAAAATAGAATTTCCTAGGAAGGAAAATTATTCCTTCCATGACTCCCAGCAAACCTACTGCTCTCTCCTTGCTGGGAAGATAGTACCTCAGGGCCACACCGGCTCCAAGGGACGCTGCAGAAATGGGTTCTCACCTGAGTCCAAACTGGATTAGGATAGGAGAAGAGAAATAAAGGAGGAAGTGGCTGATACACAGAAATGAAGTACAGACACCGTGAAACCTTGGAGTTAGCCATTCTAGTACTAGGGACTCCTAGTACCCCATCTGGGGGACCCTTGCTGAACTTCCGGTGTGAGAGTCCAGGCTTCCTGGGAGATGGGATCCAGATCATTTACCTTGGTCTATCCATCCCCTATATAGAGCCTTTTAAGTTACTGGTTCTTGTTCTAGATCAGAATAGAGTATTACTGGTTCTCTATTTCTAAGGTTCTCAAAATCCTAGGCATCAGGTTGGAGAGGTAGTACAGCAGACAGAACACTTTCCTTGCATATAACTAACCCGGGTCAAATACCAGTGCCACATGTGGTCCCCAGAGCCTCAACAAGAGTAATCCTTTCACGAAGACCCAGGAGTAATTCTTGAACATTGTGCGGCACAAAACAAAAGTTATTCTTCTATATAAATATCATGCTGATATCAGTTACTCCAGGATGCATATTCTTCCTGTCCTTGCTTTTTGGTTCCTCTCTTCTATCTGTTCTTGAAATGTAGAACTACTGAGGTTTTCGCCCCTAAGAGCTTATCATTTGTCTCCCCCTTATTCCCTGGTAAATGGGGCCATTCTCTAGGTCATTTCTCCTGCCAGCTCCTTTGTCAATCAGTCTCCGAGTTCAATTCAGTCTCACCAGGCTGCAGTCTCCTACCTGTAACTCATTCTTTCATGTTCAAAACCCATGCCTGAGTCAGCCTGAACTTCATCCAGGAGAACTGCTTCTGTACCTCCTTTTCATCATTCCTGTTTGCTCTCCCTCTCTCTTGCTCTCCCTTCCTCCCTCTCTCCTTCTTCCTCCCCCCTTTCACTGTTTGTTCACATTCATCCTTTATATATTAAATAATGTCATTCTTCCTAATCCCAGTTCTTTCTAATCCTAATCCTTACCAGTCCCTTAATCTCATTGCTTCCAGTGCTCAGAATCATCAAATCTTCCCAGCACCCCAGTGTTCCTCTCTCACCTTCCTGCCTGGCTGCCCTGTGAGCCCTGTGTCCACCCCTCACCTCTGTGGACCTCATCCTCTAGACATGTCTGGTCACCTCAGCCTCCTAATGTTGTGCCCGAGTTTCAGTCAACCTCCTAATGTTGTGCCCGAGTTTCAGGTCCCCAATTGCGGAGAGACCAAGTTGACACACGATAATGCAAAAGCAAAGGAACTTTATTACTAGCCCAAGCCATTGCTAGCTCGAGCTAGGGTCGAACTCTCATCCAACACAGTGTAGGATCCAAATCTCATCCAACACAGTGGAGTCTTGACAAGGACCCCGACTCCAAATCACAAGCAGTTTATGTAGAGTTCAGAGTTAAGAATCAATTTATATCCTGGTCTATTTTTAGCATCTGCCCTATTAAAATGGCGGTCAGCAATTAGGCAATGGTTAGTAACAGTTTATAAGAAGGCTAGCGTGACCCTTCATGACTGCCAGACCCAACTGTCCCAATTTCTTATCTTGGCAAATTACTCAACTGGGAGTTTTCCAGAAACTACAAGTCCCGCTCTGGCAAAACAGAAACTGAGGCCTAGTTGAGACTTCATGGCATCAGTTTCGCCTTCACACTAACAGACTCCTCCGGTACCTATTATTTCCTGTCCTGCCTTCATGATCACCTTTCACCCAGCTCTGATAACTAACAGTTCAATGCTTTATCACTGGTTAGAGTCTTCCCATCAAAAGTCACAGAATGTATGGAGCCAATATGAAAGAGGTATTATGTCATCATTTTTTACAAGAAGCTGAGACCAAAGCACCTAGAGGACTTGCCCAAGTCCAAACTAGAAGGGATGTAGCTGCTACTAAAAACCCAGTCTCCTTGGTCCAAATTCCTGCAAGGAGGGTGGTTCTTGAAAGCTCCACTTGTTTAGTACTCCCAGAGCCAGTATGTAATCAAACTTAAAATCTTGCACATGCCAGGCATGTGCTCAGCACTTGTACCATCTCCCTGGGTTCATAGATTAGGGCCAAAGTTTCTTTATGGCATATCTGCCTGAGTGACTAATGAAACCTGGCTCCCAGCTGCTCTCTGTCAGATAAATGACCTGTCTCAGCTCTGTGTTACAGCCTGTGATAACTCAAGAGGGCAGGAGATGTTCACCCAGCTTAAGAGCACATTTCCCGTCCATGGGCGAAAGTGGGGAGGTGCTGGATCCCCTTGGAGGAATGGTCTTGTGTGTTCTCCAGAGAGGGAGCTGCCCACATTCCTCACATGCTTTCCTTCGCCCTTTCATATCTGTAAGCACAGTTAGCCTGCCCACACCCTGTGGGGCGGCCAGGTGAGTCCTGAAACTCCACTTTCGTAGATAAGGAAGCCCTCTTTCTATAACAGAGAGAAAGAATGGAGAAATGAAACTCTATGTGTAGCACTGATAGGGAGCCAGCCATAAACATGGATATTTAAAGGTGACTGTAGAAAGTATGTGAATATAGACTGATTAATGAAATACATAAAACACACAAAACTATAAAAAAAAGAGTTAAGGAGTTGGATTTTTTGTGCATAATACAGTGAAATTCAGTTATCTATAAGAGAACTGATTCCTTTCAGCTTGAGAATGGTATGCGGTTAAGACACAGGCTTTGCACATCTCCAACACCTGTTCAATCCCAGCACCACATGGTCCCTGGGCACCTTGGAGTGTAGTCTCTGAAGTCTGCTGAAGTGGCCCCTTGCATTCAACCACGGGTCCAGTTTGTCAAGAATAACTTGGCAGGACCTTTAGGCCTCTTGAGCTTTCCTTGGGAGTCCCCTAGTCACACCACTCCCCACAAATTAAACCCTGGATCTACCATGTCTTGTTTGAGTGACCTTGAATAAGTTACTTTCTGTTTCTGAGACATAGTTTCCTCATCTGTGCTGTGGGGGCACCAGCAGTGTTCTGACAAGGTGTGGGGTTGTCAGGAGGGGTCGGGTAGGGCTGTCCGATTTGTGCTTGGTTCCTGTCTCCAGGGAAGAACTCCAATCTCATTGGATTGTCCCAGCAATACCATCATCTCTAACCACACAGAATCAGAAATTTAGTCAGGGCAGGAGAAATGCGGTGCAGTTACTACTCCACACAGTGGATTTGGCCAGGTATGATGAATGCTAATTCTACCATTGCTGAGTGCTGAGGTATGGTAATTCCAGAGACTACACTCCACGCATGGTTCTCTGGAGAGACAGAAAGAAAAAGAAAAACAGCCTTCAGTTCTGTAACTCAGAGAGTCTTAGAGAGGCCATCGCAAATATACACGTGTGAGTGTGTGTGTGTGTGTGTGTGTGTGTGTGTGTGTGTGTGTGTATAGATTTTTTCCCTTCTTGCCGAGAACCCCAGCCTGACTGCCTCCAGCTCTCAGAGCTAAAAAGCGAAAGGCAGGACATCTGCCTGGGATGAGGGGCTGACACAATGTAAACCGAGGGACCGAGCTGACTCACTTTAGAAATAATTTCCGTCTCAGTAGGTAAGGAGCTCCAAGTGCCCCAGAATGCAGCTGGAGAGTGTGTGTTTGGGGAGCGATAGGGGAGTATCATCGTAATTGACATTCTTCTCGATCCCCTCCCAAATGGATTACGTCTGGAATTTATGTCATTACAGGCTCCTCTTTCCCATTGTTTACTTTTTCTCAGTTCCTCCATCTAGTGCTTTCCATGTCTGACTCCCACGAGAAGTATCGCATTCTCAGAGAGCTTTGGGGCTGACTCTAGTCTGTGGATGGAAGGGCATTTCTTGCCAGTGTGAGTGGGCCATGTTCTTGCACCCAGTCATGGGCATCTCCACCATTCTTCCTCCGCTCCTACACTCTCCTTCGTGCTAACCTCTTGTCCCATTGCCCTGTCTGAAACTCTTTCTCCCCCAACCAGGCTCCATCCTGGATCTTGCCTTCCTACCAGCTGGTGGAAACATAACTAGGGGCAAGACCTGGGCCCCCTGTGAAACAGTTAGTTACTGTTCTTCCTCCTTTTTCCTGTACCCTTCATGCAGAAGATATACTTCCTATTGTAAAAATGTGATTAAATTGACTTTTAAAAACTGAATTCAATTTTTTCTTACTTTAATTTTGTTTTTTTGGATTTGGGGCCATGGCCAGCACTGGCACTGTGCTCAGGAATCACTCCTGGCTGAGCTCAGAGCACCATGTGGGGTGCTGGGTATTGAACCTGGGTCAGCTGAGTGCAAACCAAAAGCCCTGACTGATGAATAATCTCTCCAGCTCTCAATTTCATTATTTCTTTTGTTTCAAGGCCACACCTGGCTGTGCTCAGGGCTTACTCCTGGCTCTGTGCTCAGGGATTATGCCTAATGGAGGCCATATGTGGTGACAGGGATTTGACTATGATCCTACGCATGCAAGGCAAACATCATACCCCATGTACTCTTCAGTCCCTTTATTTTAATTAATTTATTCAATTTTAGTTTCTATATTTTTAATTTTTAAAAATTTTTTATATTTAAATTTTTAAATATTCAAAAAATTTTAGGGCTGGAGTGATAGCACAGTGGGTAGGGCATTTGCCTTGCACGAGGCCGACCAGGGTTTGATTCCTCCGTCCCTCTTGGAGAGTCCGGCAAGCTACCAAAAGTATCCTGACCGCACGGCAGAGCCTGGAAAGCTCCCCGTGGCGTATTCAATATGCCAAAAACAGTAACAACAAGCCTCACAATGGAGACATTACTGGCGCCCCCCTCAAGCAACCAGATAAACAACAGGAGGGCAGTACTACAGTGCTATTTTTAAATTTTTAATCGCCACGAATTAGTTACTGGTTTTTAATTATTAGGTTTCAAGTGTACAATGTTTCGAAATCAATCCCTTACCCCCAGTGACCACTTCTCTCCCCCAATATCCCCAGTTTCCCTCCACTTTCCTGCCTGCATCTAGAGTCTACACTTTGACCTCCACTATTGTCCTAATGTTCCCTTTTCCCTAATTTGTTGGCCCCAACTCCAATCCAGTAGCAAGCTTCCAATTGAAGAAAAGTTCTCTTGATCTTTGTTTCGATTGCCTTTGGGGCTTCCTTTACAAAGTTTCTCTATGCCTTGCATATGAGAGAGATCATTGTAAGTCTGGCTAACTTCACTCAACAGATAACCCTCGAGACCCATCACATAGCAGCAAGTTGTACGACTTTATCTGTATTTACTGCTGAGTAGTATTCCAGTGTACAGTATATGTATTCGTAGTTTCTTTATCCAGTCATCTGTTCTTGGGCACCTGGGTTGTTTATAGATTTTGGCCTTTGTGAATAGTGCTGCAATGAACAATGATTGCAGATGTCTTTTCTGGAATGTGTTTTGGATCCTTGAGTATATTCCAAGGAGTGGGATTGCTGGGCAGTTTGAAAACTCAATCACTTATTTTTTTGAGTAATGACCATTACTTTTGACTTCCAAAAAGGTTGGATCAGTCAACATTACGACGGATAGTGAATGAAGGTCATTCACCCCCCCCCCCCCCCGACACCTTAACCAACATCAGTAGTTGTTCTTTTGGATAAATACCAGTCTCTCTGGTAGGGAGGCCATAACTAATTCTTCTTATTTGCAATTTCCTGATGATATAGAGTATTTTTCATATTACTTGACCATTTATATTTCTTCTTTGTCAAAGTTCTGTTCATCTCTTCTCATTTTCTGATGGGGTTAGATGTTTCATCCTTGTAGAGCTCTATCAGTGCTTTATATATTTTGGATGTTAGCTTTTTATCATACGAGTGGTGGACATAACGTTTTTCCCCAGTCTGTGGGCTATTTTAGTTTTTGTAATTTTTTTTGCCCCCCCACCCCCCATACAGACACCCAGGGACTCCCACATGTGAGGCGTGTGAGGCCCCTCTGAGTCCCATCTCTGTCCCTGCATTCATTCCTTTTACAAGTTTGGAGTTCTCTTTAGTGTATTTTTGTTAATCTCATTGAGGAAGGAAGTTTTTGAAACCAAAGTTTCTGTCCTGCGGATCAGAAATGTGGCACTCATTTAAAGGCTTCGGGCTGGCTCTCTGTTTTTTAACATTGGTACTTAACTCCACCTGGAGTTTCATTCCTTCTTGACTCCAGCTGCCTCCTCTCTCTAGATATCTGTGATTTCTTGTGTCACACTGTGTTCCTTCAGAACGTTCTCCAATTTCCCCTGCCCTATACCCGTGCTATAAACCTGATTTTGCTGACCAGTATGATGGCTGGCACAGTGTCATTCATCATGTGCCTGACTCTTGCTGTCTTTGCAGAAAGCCAGCTGACCTGCACAACCTGGCCCCTGGCACCCATCCGCCCTTCCTGACCTTCAATGGGGATCTGAAGACGGATGTCAACAAGATCGAGGAGTTCTTGGAAGAGACTTTGACCCCTGAAAAGTAAGGAGTGGCCCGTTTCTGGAGTTAATGACAGGGAGAGGCCCTGTATTGGAACTAGGACTTAACTAGTGTTAAATCCCTCATCCCATTTTTTTTTTATTTGGGCCAGCACTCTTAGGTTGATCAGGACTTACTCCTAGCTCTGTGCTCAGAGATCAATTCTCTTGGTGCTTGGAGCACCGTATGCAATGCCAGGGATCAAACCATGCTTGACTGCATGCAAGGTGAGAAATGCCTCAGCCCCTGTAATACCTGTACAGGCCTATTGTTACATATCTTAATGGGACAGATTCCCAAAGAAGCCTCATCAGTTCAGGGTGTATAGGACCTTTGACTCTTGTTCACCCCCGAAGGACAGCCAAGCTCAAAGCTGTTTTGCCAAGGCCCCTCTCTCCCAGCAGACACTTAGGTAAAGGAGGCTGTGTGCCCTTCTGAGGCATAGTGATGGAGGAGCTCTGAGAAGGGTCCTCCCACCTTTCTCCCCTGTAATAAGTTCTCTTGCCTGTACACTTTGCCTGAAAGATTCACCTGTAGGGCAAACATCCCTGTCTTTCAGAAGAGAGCAGAGGCTGACAGGATAAAAATGGGCCACCTCGAAGAGAGTCCCAAGATTTACCATCACACCAAAGCAAGAACAAGAGTCATACATCAGACCAAGCTGGGTTTCATCATTAGAGAGGGAGAGAAATGGAAGTAAAAGCAGCTCCTCCCCTGATGAAAGAGTGGGGAGTGGGCGACCAAAGGCTGGAAATTTATTTTGGTTAAATAGACCACAAGCGAGGGAACAAAGACTACAGACAAGAGAAGAATTCTAGATGTTGCTGGAAGCTTGACTTGGTCATTAACCTACACCATCAGTGGGGGATAAAACCATCACACATACGTGTTTATAAACTATAACAACATCCCGTGGAGAGAAGGCATGTGTGACTTCCATTCAGAGAGATGGTCCCAAGAAAGTTTATTTGTTTGTTTTTGTGGTTTGAGGCCACAGCACTCCCATCATCTTGAATCTGTGTTCAGGAATTATGCCTGGCACTGATCAGGGAACCATATGCCATGCCAAGATCGGCTGCGTATAAGGCAAGTGCCTCAACCCCTAGACAGTCTCTGGGCTGCCAGAACAGTTTTAAGCAAAAGTGTTAGAGTCAGTTTTCAAACTGATGGGTGGTCAGAGCAAGGGGAGGAGGGCAGGAGATGGAGAGATCAAATGGGCAGAGCCAACTGGTGAAGCTCCTGGCAGGGTGGGCTCAGCTAAAGCAGTGACTATGAAAGTGGGAAGGTACAGGGAGGAGCCGGGACATACTTTGTAGGTAAAGTCAGTAGGTCTGGATTACTGAAAAAAATCTTGCAATTATTGTCATTTTATTTATTTAGCAACACTTCTATAGTTCTTCTCTCATCTACCCTAACTCTTAATCACCCTAAAGTTGAAAAAAATTGCATTTATTACCAAGCTTGTTTTTAAATTTAGTAATATTGCTGTAGCCTTTCCCTTGTCCATTTTAAGTTTTACTTATTTAGCAGCTTTTTTTTTTAGTCCTTCCTTTGTGCCCATTATTGCACTGTCACTGTCACTGTCTTCCCGTTGTTCATCGATTTGTTCGAGAGGGCCCAGTAACGTCTGCATTTTTAGACTTCTTGTTACTGTGTTTGGCATATTGAATATTGACTATGTCACGGTAGCTTGCCAGGCTTTGCTGTGTGGGCGAGATACTCTCTGTAGCTTGCCAGGCTCTCCGAGAGGGGCGGAGGAATCGAACCCAGCTCAGCCGGGCTGGCTGCGCACAAGGCAAATGCCCTACCGCTGTGCTATGGCTCCAACCCATTATTGCACAGTTGGGGAAAATGAAGCGTGAAGAGGCTGACTGATTTAACGAGGATGACTGATTTGACATTGAGAAAACTACTATTACATGTTTAAGGAACTCTCAGTTCAGGTTATGCTCCAAATAAGCCAGGAATATGTATACGTTCTTCCATAAGAGTAATCTCAGCCCTTCACATCACCAGTTTGTTTTCCACGAGAAAATGGAGAATGAAAAGTGGAAATGAAAAAGGTGCTTCAATCAAGTCCACTGTATGAACTCAAGTCTGAGTTTATACCTGTGCCTTCACCACCCAGATGGACACCCCTACCCATGACTCCAGCCCACGTCTCCTCCTAGCTCGACATCACACACAGCCTTGGGCAGACTCAGGATCCTGTCCTTCTGGGAGTCCCTTCAATGCTGGGTGCTGGGGAAAAACACAACTAAACACTGTTATCAATCACTACAAAGAATTTATACTTTGCCTAGGAGAGTGGAACACAAAAGTCCCCAGTGAGATGATGTTTTCCCTTTAAGGAGGGAACTTATGAGTGGCAGCTGTCATCCAGGCCACAGACGAATGAGATATTTAAAGGGGTGAGAAGCAGTGACCCCATCCCTTCAATATATCAGTTCTTGGCCAGGTGAGTGGATGGAAGCAAGCCACACTGGCCTGAGAGGTCTCCTCAGAAGGCCTCCAGGGCCTAGTGACAGCACATCAACGAATCTGGATTCCCCAGAAGGGTTCCGTGGATGCTTCTGATAGGTCAGACTGGAGCAGGTGCCATGATGACCTCACAGAGTTACCCAATCAGCTCCTCTACCCCACTAAGTGGGACCTGCGTCTCTACCCAAAACAAGCCACCAGCGTTGCTTCCTCACCACTCCTTCTGTCTGGGTGTTCAGATGGCTTGAGTTCTGAGACTCCTGGGGGAGTTCTAGGGGACTGCAAAGCCCCAGAACTATTCATCCAAGGTGGGTTGCCCAAATGTTTCTCATCACTGTTATTTGTCAAAGTGTCCTCAAGGCCAATACATTATGGGGGCTTTTTCCCCTTAGCTTTATTTTTTATAGTGAGAATCCATGTGCAAACACCCCAGTCCATTTTCATAAAATCACATTGGTCCTACTAACTGTTTGGTGTCAAAAAGAGAAAGTCAGGCAGTCTCGAATTATTTCTAAATGAGACACACTTCCAGACATGCCCCATATACTTAGCTCTCCAGGGAAGTGTTGGGATGAATGTGGAGATTTGGAACCATCTCCAGGAGCCAGTCAGAGGTGGTAGGATTCAGAACTGAGTCGGGAGACCAAACTTTGACCAACGTCCTACAGTGTATGTTGTGTAGACTGGGGCAAAAAAACTCCCACCTCAAAATCTTCCCCCTCCTCTCCAATTTAATCTCTAAAATGAAACTACATTTTTTCTAAAATACCTTTCAACAGGAATTCTAAGAGTTCATGAGTTTCTCAAAGTAATTTTCTGGAGCTGGCTGTTTTAAAAAATAATCCTAGGGCATAGATGCTTTGATAAGAAGCAGAGTGAAACAATAACACTTCTGAGAATATATCCCAGAGAGGCAAAAAAGTATAGTCGAAGTGACATCTGCACTTGTTTGTTCATTGCAGCACTGTTTACAATAGCCAGAATCTGAAAAAAACCTGAGTGCCCTAGAACAGATGACTGTTTAAAGAAACTTTGGTACATCTATACAATGGAGTACTAGGTAGCTGTTAGAAAAGATTTGGTCATGAAATTTACATACAAGTGGTACTACATGGAAAGTATCATGCTAAGTGAAATGAGTCAGAAAGAGAGGGACTGACATAGAAGATTGCATTCATCTGCAGGGAACATAATGTAACAAAACAGGAGACTAACACCCAAGAATAGCCGAGATAAGTACCAGGAGGCTTGGAGGCCAGCCGCACATGCTAGGGAAAAAGGCAGCTCAGATAGAGAAGGGAGCACCAGGTAAAGGGTGTTGGGAGAATCCTCTCAGGATGGGAGAAGCATGCTGAAAGTAGACAATAGACAGAACATGATTGCCACTCAATACCTCTTTTGCAAACCACAGCACCCAAAAAGAGAGAGAGAACAAAAGGGAATACCCTGCCACAGAGGCAGGGTGCAGTGGGGGGAAGGGGGGTAGGAGGGATACTGGGATCAGTGATGATGGAAAATGGGCACTGGTGGAGGTATGGGTACTCGAACATTGTATAATTAAAACCCAAGCACAAAACTTTGCAAGTCTACAACTGTACCTCATGGTGTTTCACTAATACAAATTAAAAAGATAATAATAAATAAAATAAATTTAAAAAAAGAAGCAGAGTGAGGGGGGGCAGAGTGATAGTACAGTGGGTAGGGCTGTTGCCTTGCACACGGCTGACCTGGGTTTGATTCCCTGGTGTCCCATATGGTCCGCCAAGTACTTCCAGGAGTAATTCCTGAGTGAAGAGCCATGAGTAACCTCTGAGCATCACTGGGTGTGATCCGAAAAAAAGAAAAAAGAAGCGAAGTGAGGGCAGGGAAAGCATCCAAGTGGTAGATACATGTCTAGCATGTGCCAGTCCTAGAGCTGGATCCTCAGTAAAGAGTGTGGTTCCCAAAACCCTGGTGACCCCTGAGCATCTTAGGCCCAAGCAGCCCTGCATTGCTGGACTCAGCTCTGCTGGCATCCCCCAAGCCTTGCAGGAGTGATCTCTGGGGGAAAAAACAAAGAAGTCAAGTTGATAGGTTGATGATGCAGCATGCAAGCTAGCAAGCATGCATTGAGTATACTTGGTCTCAGAACATTGTCAGAATTGGAAAACACTCTGAAATCACTATAATTAAGTACACAGAGATAACAAAGAAAAGTTTCTTTTAAAAAAATCTGGATATTTTTTAACCCTTAAGATGGAGAAATAGTCTCAGTAAATCCTACTGATGGCAATGGTGATGGAGAGAAAGGTTTGGTTTGTAATCTGTGCTACTAGTGTGGGTAACATAGCCTCAGTCTTAACAGAATTTCTCATTCAAGCAAAGTTGGCTTGATTCCTCCATCATGTAGCTTTTGGGATCTCCTCCAAGGCTTCTCCTGTATTAAGCAAAGAACTAGGCTCTTGCAAAAAAAATTTTTTTAGGAGTCAGTGCTATTAGGGGTCACATTACTTCCACTTCCATCCTACTAATCAGAATCCAGACAGTCCCAACCCATATCCCACAACATAACAGACAGAAAGCTAAGAACTTCAGAGGCACATGGGTATCTAAATAGGCACATGGGGTTTCTGTTCAGGGAAGCTCTTGACAATCACTCTAATGTTTCAGTCTTACACCCATAAAATGATGACCATGATGTTGATGTGGTGGAGTTTATCATGGAAGAAAATTTCAGATAACCCAAACGCCAGTCAAATAGTAAGGAGCTCATTCAGTGGCAGCTTGCAGTAAGAAAGGGAAGTTCCCATTCTGGGACTTTCTCCCAGCTACAATTGCACGGCAAATAGGGGAAATTAGTTCTTAAAAACCACAGATCCCTGGGTATACCTCTTAATGATTCAACCAGAGCCAGTTAATCTCAAAGAACAATTTGCCTCAGTAGCATGATAAGACCAGCAAGTACACAGTCAAGGATCAAAAGAGGCAGAAGAGTACATCTGCTTCTCCAAGGAAGGTTGAGTCATGCACTGAGGGAAAAGGAATAATGGGGAAGGAAGGGAGAGAATGGAAGTCCTTCAGTTTTTCGGCTCATTTGAAAAATTGCAACATTCATGCTTTCAGGTTCCCCTACATTCAGAAAAGACTTCCCCATCAGGGTGGGAAGACTGTGTCTCCTTTTTCTTCTGGTTCATCCCCAGACCCAGAAGTTGATCCCTGGTGGGAGTCAATGCTAAATAGCTCAGGTTAAATACGAGGTTAAATACATCAGGTTAAGTACCAGGGGTCCTTCAGGTTTTTTGTTTGTTTGTTTGTTTGTTTCTTTTTGGGTCACACCCAGCGATGCACAGGGGTGGGTCCTTCAGTTTGGTTGCCTGATGGTCAATGGCTAATCTGTGAATAGTCAGCTGGGACTCTTAGGGGTCAGAGAAATTTCAACTATAATCATAATATTTTTTCTGCTACTATTTACAAAAAAATATTTTCTTTTTCTGGAAGAGAGGCCAACTTTCTTGCTTCCCAGAATGAAGCTTAAATAGATGTCTAAGATGAATGTATTCAAAATGAAATATCTTAAAAACAGTGCAGAGAAATTTTCTTCAGTTAGAGCAGGAGTTGGCAAACATTTATGTAAAGGGCCAGCAAGTAAGTAATTTTTGGCTTTGGAAGCCCATTTTTCTCTTTCCCAAGTCTGCTATCATAGAGTAAAAGCAGCCATAGGTAATATGAAAATGAATGAATGCTTCTGTGTTCTAATAAAACCTCACGAATATTAATTTTTGAATTGAATTTAATTTTTGCAAATCACAAAAAATAAATATTTCTCTAATTTTTCAGTCATATAAAGATGTAAAATTTTTCATACCTTGAGGGTAGAATATAAACAAATGTTAGAGTATATTTTGCCCATGAACTCTGGGTTAGAGAAATTTACCATGTCCTTTGTCATCAGATTGCATCACAATCTTATTTAAAAGATGTTTCTTTGTGGGGTTCATCCCCAATTCAATCAGCTTAATCAGTGGCTGAATAAATATCAGTACTCCTACGTTTAGAAAAAAAAGATTTTTTTTGAATGAAAAACTATTTGTTAGTCTTTTTGGAGAATCATAACTGACTCTGTAGATCACTCTTTTGTATATTAAGATGTAAACAAAGTAATTCAATATCTTGTCCCCCCCCATCTACTGGAATTCATGAGATTAGCATTTGAAGACATTAACATTTCCAAAGAAACTGAAAGGGATGTTATCTATTCAGTAAAGCCTAGGTAAATCTCAGTATGTAGAAAACAGGAGAGAACTACCATGATCTCTGACCACACCGCATTTTGTCCTCTGTCGATCTGTCCATGATTTGGAACCAGCCACTCTTGGTATCACCCTAATTGTGCCAAAATGATCATATAGCTGGAATTCTGATCAAATGATGACATAAAGCAAAACAGAACCCAAAAACCCAAATAGAAATTCATTTACTAGGTCAGTCTCTTAACATGAAGTAAATTCTAAGAGCACTTGGTAGTTATTGATGATAATTCAGGGCAATAAACTCTATGAACATGCCAGGTTATATGGAAGGAAAAAACAGAGAGAAATGGTTCTAAATTCTCACGCTAGGCAGATTGGCTTGCATCTTGCTTTGTGTTCCCAGTAAAGCAGATGAATTTGACCATTCTCAGTGTGCTCAGGGTGCATTGTGTGTGCAGAACCTGCACATGCCCCCTCCTGGTGGATGGGGGAAATGTATCTGATGCTCCATCTGTTCCTGTCTGGGTTCCAGGACTTTGAGAGATTCAATGAGAGATTATACACCTGAATCTTAAGAGTTTACACCTTGAAACCCCTGGGTTGCCATCTTGATTTTACCATCCAGCTACATCACCTAAAACAATAGTCTCACTTCTCTGTGTGTGATTTTTCTCATATGGAAAATAAACCATTATAGTACCTATCTGAAGAGCAAATGATGACTAGGTGGAAAAAGAAAGTAGAGAGAGAGAGTAATGTGGAAATCATCTGCCCCACAGGTAGGGGGAGGGTGTGGGATGGGGGTATACTGGGGTTGTTGGGGGTGGAGAATGGGTACTGGTGAAGGGACGGGTGTTTCATTGTATGACCGAGACTTAGACCCGAAAGCTCTTACGGTGATTCAATAAATAAAATTATAAAAAATGGAAAAAAAGACTAACTTAGTACCTGGCATCTCGTGGACACCCAAAACAGTTGTACTGATAGCAAAGAAGTACTGATGGAGTCTGGGTACAGCAAATCCCATTCTCCTGATCCCTCACTACTGACTGTGAGTCATTCTGTGGTTATTCACCCTCTCTGTTCTCCACTTGTGCTCCTGTAAACTGTAAATAATAATACCTCTCTCCATATATGCCTGATGAAAAACCTGCAACAGTGGCTTTCTAAGGACTCTCCCAGTGGCACTGTTGTAACTTAAACAGCTCCCTAATATGCCCCCACCAAGAATAATAAGATGGGCCCACAGAGGAGCAAAAGCATGGAAGGACCATACATACATGAAAATCTGTGCAGTTCAAATGATTTAAGACATTAAAATGAACCAACTCAATGTCTTGTTTTATTAAATATGAAGCAGCCAATCTTCTTGAAGTTGATAACTTCTTCCCTCGAGATCATAGAGATCCCAATGATGTCTCTCTCTTTCTCTCTGTCTCAAGCAATATTACTTCATTCAGTTCAAGACCAATAGAAATAGTCTAACCTTATTCTGCATCTTATATTTTTTCTGGCTTCAAAATGAGATTGTGCAAGGGAGAAGGGATGGGATTGTTGCTACTCTGTCTCCATGTCTGAAATGAAAGCCACTGAAAAGATTGACTCTGATGGCACACTTCTGCACAAGAATTGTGTGAAGGATGTTTAAGAAAATGCCCCTTCTTTTCAGAAATGGTTTTGAGGCCTCAGTGCAAACACTATCCTGCTTCCCCAAATAAGGTCTAGGCAGCTCTAGATCTAGGTCTATATTATATCACAGAAGTGGTTGACAGAAGTGTTATTTTAATGTGATTTGGAGGCAGAAAAATAGTACAGGGCTTGTCTTGCCTGCAACTGACTCAGGTTTGATCCCTGGAACCCCATATAGTTTCTCAAACCCCACCAGGTGTGATCCCTGAGCATAGAATTAGGAGTAAGTCTTCAGCACTGTTAGGTGTAACTCAAGAATCAAAAAAGAAAAAAAAATAATGTGAGTCGGAGAAATCTCAATGATCCTAAGATAGAAACAAGTTCATTCTAAATTTTGATTAAAGCCTTTTTGAGGCTTTTGTGCATTGATATCTATGGTAACTGGAGACCCAAACCATTTTTCAGAATTACAATTGTAACATCCCATGGAGATGAAGATGTACATGGGTTCTATTCTTCTGGATGGCCGTGGGAAAGGTTGCAGTGCTCAGGGCATATTTGTGGCTCTGTACTTAGGAGTCACCCCCTGTGATGCTCAGGAATGATGCTCAAGTTTCAGTCAGTACTGAGGATTGAACCAGGGTCCGCTGCATGCAAGGCAAGAGCCCGATTCCTCATACTATCTCTTCAGCTCCTGATTAGAGCTTTTTCTTTCTGGGTCATCATTGCATGTGAATGCAGGAAGAAGATTGCTGAGCTCTCTGAGCCGTGTTCTGGGCCCCTGCCTGGGCCTGATCCTTCTCTGGTCTCTGGTCTCTCTGCCAGTGACTACTGCTGCTGCTGCAGCTGCCCTCCTCTCCACTCTCCCCCACTCCCCACCCCCAGGATGGAATGTCCTCTCCTCCAAAGATTTGTAGATCCAGTTAGAAACGGGAGCTTGTCTCATGATGGGAATTGGCTTACCTTTAAAGGTACTCCAGGAGGCCAGAGCAATAACACAGCAGATAGGGCATTAGCCTTTCACATAGCTGACCCAGGTTCAATCCCCCCAGCATCCCCTCAGGTCCTCTGAGTCCTCTAGGAGTGATTCCTATACACAGAACCAGGAAATAGTAATCTCTGATTACTTTGTGATTCCTCAAACCAAAGTAAATAAATGAAGGACCTTCAGGTTTATTCGACCCAACATTGCTGATTTTTTCATTTTTTCAATCAGGTACCCTAGACTAGCGGCAAAGCACCGAGAATCCAACACAGCTGGCATCGACATTTTCTCCAAATTCTCTGCCTACATCAAAAACACCAAGCAGCAAAACAACACTGGTGAGTGACTCCCTTCTCCCCCCCATCTGTGCTGGTTCCTGCTCAGAGCATGCCGGATACCCAGCTCAGAGAAGCACCTGGAACCAATGCTACTTTGTCATTCCCCTGCCCTGTGTGCCCATCACCCTGCCACAGTCACGAGAGGGTGATAGCTCCTTTTTGGCTGATGCAGGGGACAAAGCCTATGGATCTGATGATGCCAATGATCTCTTTGCTGAAGGAAGGGCTGCAGCCTGTCTTGTGAGAATGACTTGAATACACCACACAGAATGTGCTTCTTTGGGCATACTAGTGGTTTGTTTGTTCTAGTATCACTACACATTCCAACTTCCTTTTCGTCCCTGAAAGTCTTCGAGTGCAGTGGGGACTTGAGGGTTGTCAGAATGGTGGTGAGTGATAGAGCAAGACCCAGCCTCCCACCCCACTCCCTGCTTCCTGCTTCCCTACTTCAGACACAAGGATACCGGGGAAGCAACTTCTCAAAGATCAGCTCTTCTTCTCTCTGACCCTTAATTTCTGGTATTGGACACAGAGCTGAGGGCTTTGTCCTTCTTCAGGTTGCCTGAGTCCTTCTGATAAGCACAAAGCATTTAGTCCTTCATGTCCTTTAAGATTTAACTAAAGGGATTTGAATGCAAACTGTCAAACTGGGCATGTAAAACACTTGAAGAACTGTGTTTAGCCCTGCGAGGTAGAGGGAGGAGAAGGAGAAAGCTTGCTTGTCCTCTGAGTCTGAGGAGGAGGCAGTGTCATGGATTAGAGCCTGGTGCTCAGCCAAGAGTTCAGAAGAGTAAGTGCTTAATGCAACTTTTCGAATATAAGAGTGAATGAATGAGGAGTGGTTCATAAATCCTTGTGAATGAAGGACCATTGAAAGAGCAGTTTTTCATGAATCTACATGAATAAATGAATGAATGTATATCTCATAAAAAGTACTCCATAGATCTTGGTGAGTGGAGGAGTGAATGAACGACAATCAGATGAACACACAATACACAAAACAGGACAGTAGATCCTCGATGCTCCACGAGTTCAGAAGGAAAAAGCAGTTATGGATACCATGGAAGGAAAGGAACAGCAGTACTGGTGGGAATTAACTCAGTAACCAATGAACTGCAATGAGTCAGACATAGAACTAGATTGCAGAAAAATAACTTTCCCAGTCTTCTAGATGGAAGAAAAGAGTTAAACTGATGAAAAGGGCAAACAATAAAATTAGTGATAAATGATAGCTTAAACAATGAGGGTCTGAAAATGTGATGAAAGACCAGGTGCATGGGCAAAGACACATCCACCTACTTCTTGCTGTTCTGAGCAAGAAGTATTTGCCTCTGGGTGCTTTGAGGGAGCTTTTTGAAGGGATTTCAACTGGATCACAAGGGGAAAGGAGGTGTCAGTTGGTTGGCAATGTAGGGTGACAGACCAGGGGAAGATAAGAAACTGCTAGAGACAGATCAGGAAAAGAAGCCAACAGTGTGCAACTCGGAGACCAGTGGTAGTCTTTGTAGATACATGAGGAGGCATCATAAGGGGAGTGTCCTTTTAGTACCAGGAATAAGAAGATTGTGGGAAATAGTTTTAAAACATGTAGTTTTCTTGGTCCATTGTTCTTTGAACCCTGCAGTGTTCTGTGTCCACCTGGGACCTCCAAAGATGACCTCATTTGGGAATAGGGTTCTTTCAGATGAGCTTAAAGTTCTCGAGATGAGATTCAGTGGGCTTAGTGGATTCCGTGTATTTCTTGCATCCAGTGACTGATGCCCCTGTTACAAGCGGAGAGACACAGAGAGACGTAGGGGAGGGAACCATGGGAAAACAGGACAGGGGTGAACCTGCTGTAGGCATGTGCCAAGGACCACTCTGGATTCCTAAAGCTGACATACATGTTAGCCTCTTCAAAACATAGTAGTAGAGGAATATGCTCATTGAACAGTGATGACCGAATCTGGTACAGAAGAGTTAACTTCTGAATATACTCTTGACCATCAGGTATTCAAACCAGACATATGAAGGTCTCGTGACTGTTCCCTCCAGTTTTGTGGGTCTTCTTTCTGTTTCCACATATCCACATCTATTCCACAAGGACTTGGAACCTACTCGTAGGGATGATGCAAAAGCGGCAGAACAACCACAAGGAAGAAAAGCCAAGTGAGGGACTCAAAAAAGGCAGTTCCTCTTGGGTGTGATAAATGTAGGTCTCCAAGCCTGGGTGCTTCACCCACATAACAGACCCTTAAACCCTCCTGAAGGTAAAGCCAGCAGGGCCCCCTGGTCAGCTACAGTGAAGATAAAGTCAAACCCAGCTCCTTGACACAGCCAATATTCCCTTGACAGGGACTGTGGTTTTCACATTTTCTGGCCCTTCCCCTCTGTACTGTTCATGTTGCTGACTATAGGCTTCTTGTTTCAGAAGTTCTGGTTGCTTTCATGTTGATGTGACTCTGCATGTCCCCTACTCTCTGGGCTGCAGCCCTTCCCACCCTCTGCTCTTTACCTTTTTATACCTAAAATCCATGGACTTTCTTCACCTCCTGACACACACACACACACACACACACACACACACACACACACACACACTCACACCAATCTTCTCTTCGGCAGTCTCAGGCCTGGGTTACAATCTTCATATCCTCTCTTGGTCATTTTCAAGGCTGTCAGTTCCTCCCTTGTGCCTATCTTTGTTCTTATCCATGATGGTTGGGAACCCTAGCCAGGTTACCCTCTTCCACCTAGGGAAGACTCTTAAGGACTTAACAGACTCCGCCTGAGTTATCTTAATATTAGACTTGGTGAAAGATTTCTAACTTTGTAAATAAATCTTGTGAAGACCTTCTTGGGGAGGCAAATCAGGAGTGGACTCAGGGTACTTGTATTCAAGTCCTGAGTACCACTCTTTCTGTCTTTCATTAGTCATCCTTGAGGTGACCATGTTTTCCTGAGTAAAAAACATCTAACAAATTGTCTTCATTGAAAATAATTAGATCACCAGAAATCAGTATTTTCTCAGAAAATCAGAGACACATGCCTCAAATATAAGGTACCTGGAACCTGCCTTCCCCAGGCTCTTCCATCCAAATCTGAGCCTAGTTTCTCCCCGGAGGGGAGATGAGTGTGTAGTGAGTCCTACTTCCTCCTGGCCCAGGATCCCTGGCAAGAACAAACAAATCTCTATTATCCAGGAAGCTCTCTGAGCAGTTGTGATTCTGTTTCTAAAGAAAGCTCATACTTTCTCTGCCCTAAACTTCCTGCCTGCAACTGTACTTGCTGATGGAGACCCGGGCCATGCTCCTTATACTTTGTGTAAGAAAACAAATTCTCACAATCACATAAGCTGAACGGAGCTTTCTAGAAGCTTCCAGGAGCTCATGCATCCGCACTTGTCCTGTGGGTGCTCACTCCCACTGGTGGGAGTTGTGATGGAGACTCTCACTGCTGTTCTTTGTCACCAAATCAGCCATTCGCTGCCTGCCCCTTTTTTTCTCTAATTATCTCCTGGAGCCCTCATGAAAGGCAACAGAGCCTAACCTGCCAGCCACACTGCCTCCTTGCTTCCTCCTGTCTCCTTCCTTCATCCTGGCCCAAGCATTTTTTATTTTTATTGTTTTATTTTTATTAGTGAAACACCATGAGGTACAGTTGTAGACTTACAGATTTTTGTGCTTGGGTTTCCGTTGTACAATGATCGAGTACCCATCCCTCCACCAGTGCCCATTCTCCACATCCACTAATCCCAGTATTTCTCCCACCCCCCTCATCCCCCCATCCCACCCTGCCTCTGTGGTGCTCCCAGTAGTTCACTCAGCCGTGGTGCATGCACTGGGTGGTGCTGCTAGAAAAGACAATGTAGCACTGGGAACCTTCCTTTCCCTGCCACTTCCCCGGGCCTTTGTGTCCCTATGAACTATCATGTTGCTACTGGCCTGACTCTCCTTCCCCAGGCCACCTACCTGGCCTTTTGTGCCCCCTTCAGCCTGCTTCAATGCTCCTCTCTGAGGGACTAATTGCCTTGGAAGTAGACATCCCTACTCCCTTTTAATAAAATCTGCCAAACCTTTACTAAGTTTATGAAATAACTTCCTCCCCATGCGAAGTACAGAGCATGGACACTCATAGAGTTCAGCTCAGTTTAAGAAAAAGGCAATTAAATCCACAGATGTTATCCTGCCCTGCTGCCCCCATGCCCCGTCAGGGTGCAGAAAGAGGGGCGACCTTGAAGAGGTAGGAACTCCTTTAATGTTGTCACTGCTTCTCCTAAGACACTATTATTTAACTATTAATGTCACCACACAACAACCAAAACATGTTCTTATTTAAACTATTGTACTTTATAAGACATTGTGGTTTCAAAGATGTGAAGTGGGGGGAAAAGAGGGCATTTTAATCTTAAAATTAAAATGTTTATTATCGATTAAGTCATATGGTTACAGTAGTGTTAGAGTTTATAGTATTGATATACACAGTTACTGTACCTCACCCCTACCAAAGAGCTCATGGCTCCCCTCCTGGCCCCTATACTGCCCTTAAGTCGCCTTTGGTCTAATTTTCATATCCTCACTATTAATAAGTTTTGCCTTCTAAGGGCTGGAGTGATAGGGCGTTTGCCTTGCATGCAGCCAACATGGCTGACCCGAGTTTGATTCCTTGGTCCCTCTCAGAGAGCCCGGCAAGCTACTGAGAGTATCTCACCCGCACGGCAAAGCATGGAAAATTACCCATGACGTATTCGATATGCCAAACACAATAACAACAAAGTCTCACAATGGAGACGTTACTGGGCCTGCTCGAGAAAATCGATGAACAACAGGAGGACAATGACAGTGACAGTATCTTCTAAGGTCATGGGTTTTTCATTGTTTGATAATGTCCATTTTTTTGGTTTTTCTACAGATGACTGGGAGTGTTGGTATTTGTTCTTCTCCCTCTGACTTATTTCTCTTAACATGATACCTACTAGTTTCATCCATGTTCCTGCAAATGCATGATTTCAATTTTCCTAA